ACCTTTCTTTTCTTCTTAATTTTTATTGTGATTTGGGTGAAAGTTCACAGAGCAAATTCATTTTTCATATAGCAGTACATACATATAATACACATTTTGTTTCATGACTTTGACTACAAGATTCCACAGTGAAACAGCTCTCTTCCCACTTCCTTCCTGTAGTTACCTCTTCCCTGTGTCCTTCTTTCCTATCCATTCCTGCCCTGTGAACTATGTCCCTGTGCAAATACTACCCTTCTGTTTTCCCATCATTGATCTAGTGTATCTATCTACCTCATGACCCTATATGCTGTCTATTATTTGGCTGGAAGCCACAGGAGTGAATTCAATTCCAGACCTGAAAGGTACTTAGGGGCCATAGTCTCGGGGGTCTCACCAGGCTCTATCAGACCAGTAATCCTGGTCTTCTTTTAGGATTTTGAGTTTTGTTCCACATTGTTCTCCCACTCTGCCCAGGATCTCCTGCACTGATCCTTTTCCAAGTGGTGAACAGTGGTAGCCAGGCACTATCTAGGTCTTCTGGTCTCATGATCATATAGGCTGAGATTCTCATGGCCCACTAGTCCCTTGGATTAATTATTTCCATGCATCTTTGGTTTTCTTCATTCTTCTTTACTGTGGATGAGGAGAGACCCGTTATTGCATCTAGATGGCTGTTTGCAAGCTTTTAAGAACCCAGTCAGTACTCATCAAAGTAGGATGTAGAACAATGTTTTTGTATGTTATTTTATGCCAATAGAGCTTGATTATCTCCTGAGACCATAGCGATGAGCCCACAGGTCCAACTACTTGCTCCTTCAGGGTGGTTGGCTGTGGCCAAGAAGTTATCATAATTTTGCCCCTTCTTAGCTCAATTATATATTTGGAATTCTTACAGCACATACAAATATGCATGTAGAAATATCATCTGCAACCTTATATATGGTGATGAATGTATTCCCTTTTGCCTAGACATACCTGATCATTCAGCCTGTCTACCCATGTGTTAGGCTGGGTTCTCTAGAGAAGCAAAACCAGTAAAGCTTATATATACATACAGAAAAAGAGAAATTTATCTTAGGAAAATGGCTTACACACTTACAGAGGCTGGCCAAGTCCCAAGTTCTTGGATCAAACCTCAAGCTGGAGGCTTTTCCCGACTCAAGCAGCTGCAGGGGCTGACGAGCTCAAGGTTGGCAGGCAGTATACCGGCTGTTGACTCCAACGAATGATGAATCCAAGATCTCCAGGCCAAATGGTGGATTGTTCACTCACAGACAGCTGCAGGCAGCACAACAGGATCTCTATCCACAGAAGAGTGTCTCTTTTCCCAGGATGTCCATAAATATGTTGGAAGTAGGCCATACTCCTAGGGAAACATTCCACTGATTGGCAAAACATATGCATCTGATCCCATCATGGGACTGAAGCACATCACAACTGCTTAAACCACACAAAATTGTGGTCCAGCCAAGTTGACACACAGCTCCAATTATCACAACCCATCTATTTACCTGTAGATTAATGTTTGTTATTACTGACAATTCAGTATTGCATATGTAAAAGGGTTTATCTTTGTTGTCTGTACCTCTTGTGTACCTGTCTGTATCTTTCTCTTCCTCAGTGCCACAGTGTTGGTCACTCACTTTTGGTACATTGCCCTTTCCTTCACCCAAATCAGTACTTGTCTCACGTATCTAGTAGTGTCCTCCCACCCCCATCCCTCATAACCAACAAAGAAAATTTCTTTCTATATATAAACCTTTCCTTGACTTTTTACAATAGTGAACTAATATAATATTTGTCCTTCTGTAATTGATTTCTTTCACTCAGCATAATGGCCTCCAAGTTCACCTACATTATATGGTGTTTCACAGATCCTACATTATTCTTTAGTGTTGTATAGTATTCCATTGTGTATATGTACCATATTTTGGTTATCTGTTCTGTTGATAGGCACTTAGATTGTTTCCATCTCTTTGCTATTGTGAATAGTGCTGTGATGTACATGGGTGTGCATATCTGTTCTTGTCCTGGCTCTCACTTCTTTAGGATATATACCTAGTAATGGGATTGCTGAATCAAATGGTATTTCTACTTCCAACTTTTTAAGGAATTGCCATACTGATTTTCAAAGAGATTGCATCATTTTACAGTTCCACCAACAGTGTATGAGAGTCCCAATCTCTCCACATCCTTGCCAGCATTTGTTATTGTGTTGTTGAACTTTGCCATTAGTGCTGAGTTGAGATGGTATCTCATTGTTTTGATTTGCATCTCTCTAATGGCTAATGATTGCAAACATTTCTTCATGTATTTGTTGGCTACTTGAATATCTTCTTTGGTGAAGTGTCTGTTCATGTATTCTGACCATTTTAAAATGGGATTGTCTGTCTTTTTGTTGTTGGGGTGTTAAAGAGTTTTCTATAAATTTTAGATAAGTCCCTTGTCAGGTAAGTTGCTGTTGAATATTTTTTCCCAATCTCTAGATTTTCTTTTTTTCTTTTTTGGAGAAGTCTTTTGAAGCACATAAAAATTTAATTTTAGAAGGTCCCAATCATTCAGCTTATCTTCTGCTGTTTGTGCATTTTGGGTGATGCTTGATAGTCTTATTTATGCCATAAATTAGGACCCCTAAATTTGCCCCTACTTTTTCCTTGAGGAACTTTATAGTTTTAGGTTTCACATTTAAATCTTTGATATATCTGGAATTAGTTTTTGTGTATGCTGTTAGGTATGAATCTTGTTTCATTTTTCTGCAAATGGATAACCAGTTTTGCCAGCACCATTTGTTGAAGAGAATGTCTGTTCCCTATTTAATGGATTTCAGCCCTTTGTCAACCATCAGTTGACTCTAGGTCGCTGGCTTTATTTCTGGGTTCTCAATTCTATTCCACTGGTCTATGTGTTGTCATTGTACCAGTACCCAGCTGTTTTGACTACTGTGGCTGTACAGTAGGTTTTGAAATCTGGGAGTATGAGACCTCCTACTTTGTTCTTCTTAACTAGCACTTTGCTTATCCAAAGTCTCTTTCCATTCCATATAAAATGAGATTGTTTTTTCCATATCTTTAAAGAATGCTGATGGGATCTGGATTGGGATTGCACTGAATGTATAGATTGCTTTGGGTAATTTTGACATTTTCACAATGTTCAATCTTCCTGTCCATGAGGACAGGTTTGTTCTTCCATTTATGGAGCTCTCTTATGGTTTCTTGAAGTAGTGTTTTGTAGTTTTCTTTGTACAGGTCTTTT